ACTTCTTTGTGCCAATCAATCAGTTGTTTTTCACAAACACTAACATTTCATAGACCTTACTTATTAACATTAAGTTAATAATTTAATAGAAACAAAGAAAGCATGAGTTTCTGCTAAGAATGATACGATGTTCTTCATCACAATCATTTTCAAATACTGAAATCAGATCCGAAAGAGAGAATCTCTTAATCACAGCATGCTTTGCTTTTCTTGGATTTTTATTTGCTTTCTTCCCCCATGGCCAAATGAAAATTTCTTCTCTTCTAATATCTATGACCAAACATTCTCTTTGGTAATACCCGTATAGTTTCAGAGTAAAACCACGGTGCTAAGAAAGTATATACTAAATGAGAAACCTTTTACGTTCAAAATGGTGAACTCTTTTAAAATCATTATTTGCTTAAGCATACAAAATATTCCACCTTAATAATGAATGAAAACATGTTAAACAGTATAGCTTTCCAAACTAACTCTAACTTCTCGTGTGTGTGTGTGTGTGTGTGTGTGTGTGTGCCCATGACCACGTGTTTAGAAAATCCTGGCTCCTGTTATACTGGAAATCATATCTCATTCTGTTTTTCTTTTCATTTTAAAGGTACCTTGATTATAGAGAATCTGGAAAATTTGCTATTACACTGTGTACACAGGGACCTCCAGACCTGCAGCGATTCTGTCCCATGAGAGTTTCTCAGGTGTCAGTGTATCAGGTTCCTCCCCAGGCCCATTGAACCTGAATCTTCCCCCTTAATAGGACCCTGCACTGATCTGCATAAACATTAATGCATGAGAAGCCAGAGCCTGAATCTCCTCAATGAAGAAAGGCTTCCATCGGTGTTTTATTTCTAGTAGCCCTTCTTTTTCGTGTCTATTTTTCTGTTTAAATCTTGAAAGTCTAATTTTGTTAATTTTCTGATTCATGCATTATAATATTTTTTAGGATACCAATAAAGTGCTGATCATGGTTTGAAAGCATTCAGATTTTTAGTTAACAAAGAACATTTGTTAACTTGAAATGAATCTTCTATTTAAATTTAAGAAACTTGGGTTTTATATCTTAAGTTATTAACAGTTTTGTTTGCTACTTAAATCCTATTTCTTTCCATCTTTATAGCTGCAATTAAATGTCTTTTTTCTGAGTTTTAAAAATATTTTATTAATTCTTTGATAATTTATGCAATATATTCAAACCATATTTACCTTCCTCTCCCACTACTCATTCCCCCCCAACACCCCCAAATCTGTATCCTCTTTTCTTTTAAAGTTCATGAATCAAATTTGTATTCCCCAAATATGCTTAGGTGTGGATCCCTCCCCTGGAACATGGTCCTCCTACCAGGGATCACATCCTTAAAGAAGACTGACTTTCTCACAGAAGCTCAGTTGCTTAATCCCATAAGATAAGGGTCAATTCTTACTCTTGAATGGAGTAAGAAACTGTGTCCTTAAAAGTTCAAATAATTTTCCTGCTATCACATAGTTTATAAGGATTACGAATCTAAGATTTAAAATTTAAAAAAATAGCACATTTGTTTTAAAAGGTGCCATGTGAGTTTTCATTGGGAGATGTGAACAAGCATCTAGTCAGAGAGGGTATCAACAACAAACAAAAGAAACTATTCCACCCAAGTCTAGCTTGGTGAACCAAGCTGGAGGTTAACAGGGGGGGCTACTTACAAAAGCACACGTGAGGGGATTCCTACAGGGCATGGAAAATTTGCAGGCAGCTATAGCACCAAAGAATGCCCCTACCCTAGCCATTGTTAACTGCTTATATGTCCTCCGGGAGGGGTCTGGCCTCCTGTTCTGCCTTTTAGACTACATTCCTTAACTTCCGTAAGTGGGCCCAATTTTATGAGGGTCTTATGGGAGTAATCACAGCTGTCTGGATTTCAAGAAGGGTATGAATATATCATGTCCATGCCCACAGAACTGAGTTCTACAACAAAAGTCTTAGTCAATGAGTGATTTTTGTCTTTTTTTCAAACAACATTTCACTCATAGAAATATCAGTTTTTCTCCTTGTAATTCAACAAGCATATGGTATTTCATTTATTGAGTTTATTCCCTAAATAGATATGCGAACTAAACATGTTCTCTGGATATACAATGACTAGTGCGTAGAGACAGCAGACTCAGCAGTTCACACAGGTTAACTATATGCAGAAAGAGTGACCCTCTGGTGTCCCAGGGAAATCCATTATACTAAAGTGGGTACAGAAAAAAGACATTAGTCTAAGTGATGTTGGAAAACAGGAGGTGACAGATAAGTAAGAGAAGAAGCTAGAAAGAATTAGGTGGTACCAGGTTAGATTCAGAGTCATAAATATTAATTCACGTGTGTTAAAACAGATACAGATGGATAGATATAATTCTTAATGCTCAGATATAGCTGTGTTGGTATACAAACACATATTGCCTAGCTTTGCTCCCTAGGAGGGCCTAGCGGAAATGAGAGCCCAATAGTGATGAGTACACACAGAGTCCTGACTATCATTTCTTAAACCGTTCTCCAGCAAAAGGAAGTAGAGCTTCTTGGAGAAATGACGGATTGGGTCTGCAAGATCAATGCAGAACATCTTCTACTGATGGAGAGTAAGGATATGCTCAAAAAAATAAAAGGAAGGTAGATCGTCAGGGGGATGCTGCAGTCAACGTAACAGCCTTCGTGACAAAAGCTGTGACCATTTGGGCAACAAAGCAAATAGCATGGCATTGGATCAGAACCCAAAGGTTCAATAAATGCCTGTGACTTCATCCACACTAATAAATAAAATGACTAAACAAATAAACGTAGGAAAGGGTGGAACTTAACCTCTATCACCATCACTTACCATATACAGTGGGCAACACTTTGTACCTTGGTCCGAAGAAGAAGGGAAGTGATTGTAGCTTACAGTTTACACACTGGCAAATCTACCTCACTCAAGTTACTAAGATAACATCACCAGTAATAAGTCATAGTGGTGGTGTGGATATAACGCAATGAAGTTTCTACACTATAGCCTTCTTCCCCCAAACTCATTATTCCAGTTTAACCATGAGAAAAAAAGGCCAGATGAATTCAGTTAAGTACGTTCTACAAAATATCTGTTCATTGCTTCTCGAAATTGCCAAGGTTATCAACAACAAGAAAAGTCTGAAAAATCACCACAGACCAGAGGAAACTTGGAAGACATGACAAATAAATAACCAGTTATCATGGACAGGACTCAGGAGCCATAGGGGGACAAATAAAACCAATGAAATTGGTGATGCATGAAACACTGGAGTAATGCAAGATGCTGATGCGGGGTCCACTGTAACTCTACACTCTTCTCGTAACTTCTCTGTTAAACTACTCTAAAATAAAAAGCTTGTTTAAAAGGACAGGAACAAAAATAATTCGTCCAAAATTGTTGGGCAGAAAAAAAAAAAAAAAACAAAGCCTTGTCATTTAGTATGAAGTTTTTGAAAAGGGGTAATCTTTAAATCCTGAACAGCAGGGCAACTCAGTCGTCTTCCTCCACTTTGAAGTTTCCCATCGTACTAACCAAGGTGGCTTTGAACCTGCTACTTGCTCAAAAGCAGTTTTCTCTTAATCTTTACAGTCACACTCTGTTCTTTGTTCTTTGATCCACCCCCACATATTTTGCTACAAATCTAGTCATTGTCAAGGCCCAGCTGACTGGCTTTGTAAGTGGTTTGCTGTTTCTGTCTGTTCTCCATGTTTCTGGTGTTATTTAGGTTTATTAAAGGGAACAATTTGTCACAGCCACATCACAGTAGTCACATCATTACCAAGCAAATTTCAAAATTCAGTGATGTTAATTCACAGGTGTGGCCACTGCAAGTACTATAGTTATGTACTTCATAATAACATCATATTTAATCACACATTAAACCTCGTAATTAATTTCTACGCTGTTCCCCTGTTCACAGTTTCAGAAAGTGTCTCCTAGAATCTTCTATAGAGTCTCATAACATCGGTTATAGCTTCCATAAATGTGTAAAAAATTTGCATCCATTTCTAGCTACGTTAATATTTGGGTGACAATACTTACTGATTTTGTAAATCATCTGAATAAGTTTAAAATAACGAATATGCTTTTTTATAACCAAATCGTTACAGACTTAAAATTTTTACTCATCAGTTCATTGTTAGAATGTGAAGGTTTACACAAGTTCTAGGGTAGAAATTACTACTGATGTTATGGTATATAGATATGTAACTAAACTGCCTTCTAAATATTTGTATTTATTGCCTTAGACTAATGATGCTGTCCACCTTAACCAGAGAAGCTTCTTTTTGCAGTGGCAGTGGTTAATACAGAGACTCATACTGACTAAAATGCTAAGAATAAGTGATTGTTGAGTGCTTAGCCCTAAACAGGCTATTCATATCACCCTAAGACCCACTGAACATCATAGAAAAGGGGGTGGGAAGACTGTTAAGAGCTGGAGGATGGGGAGGAGTGCCATGAAATGGGGGTTCTTGATTGATATGGCCACTGTTATCATGAACAGGAAGCAGCTATGGCTAAGACTTGCACACACACACACAAAAAGACATGAGAGTAGAGGACCCGTTGGGAAGGAGGGGATCTATAAGAGTGGGGAGGGGACAAAAGAGAGTAACAGGGTGAAGATGTTCACAGTATATGGCATACATGTATGAAATTGTCAAAACTTAAATAATATATATTATAAAATTATAATTTTATATTATAATTTATATTATAATTAAGAAAAAGAAGGTGAAGATTGATAAAAAAAAATAGAAACAATTTCCCTTTGTTCTTATAGGCAGGTAAGTCCAAAATTGCAACCTGAGATTTTTTTTAATATTTTATTTATTTTGCCACTGAAGTCGGGCAATAATTGCTTCTTTGCCTTTTAAAAAAAATATTCCTTGGGTCTGTTTCCTTCTGTGGTTTGAACTGGATGACATGGGATTGCGTTTCTTCCAAAAATTCTAAAATGTGAGATATTTTCTTAAACAATATTCCTTCTATTATTTCTAGACAATCGTTAGAGGAAACAAACCCTGCAAGGAAACATCCATCAATGGCCTGCTGGAGGATTTCGACAACATCTCAGTGACTCGCTCCAACTCCCTACGGAAAGAAAGCCCACCCACCCCAGATCAGGGAGCCACCAGCCACGGTCTAGGCCACTCAGAAGAAAATGGCTTCATCACCTTCTCACAGTACTCCAGCGAATCCGATACTACTGCTGACTATACGACTGAAAAGCACAGAGAAAAGAGTCTCTATGGAGACGATTTGGATCTGTACTACAAAAGCAGTCATGCAACCAAACAAAATGGGCATGTCATGAAGATGAAACACGGCGAGGCTTACTATCCTGAGATGAAGCCTTTGAAAGCTGACCTGGCCAGATTTCCTGTCGATTATCACACACACTTGGACTCGCTGAGCAAACCGAGTGAATATGGTGACCTCAAATGGGATTATCACCGAGCCTCTAGTAGTTCCCCTCTGGATTATTCATTCCAACTCACGCCTTCTAGAACTGCAGGGACAAGCAGGTGCTCCAAGGAGAGCCTGGCATACAGTGAAAGTGACTGGGGACCCAGTCTGGATGACTATGACAGGAGGCCAAAGTCATCATACCTGCATCAGACAAGTCCTCAGCCAGCCATGCGGCAGAGGTCCAAGTCAGGCTCAGGGCTACAGGAACCCATGATGCCATTTGGAGCAAGTGCTTTTAAAACCCATCCTCAAGGACACTCGTACAACTCCTATACTTACCCTCGCTTGTCGGAGCCCACAATGTGCATTCCAAAGGTAAGACTACTTCCTCTTCTCCCTGAGTGACAGACCCTGCCAAGGAGTCCCTAGCATGGCCAGAGTCGGTAGAGCTTGCTGTCTTTATAGTGAGATTCCCCTACAAATCCCGTGGTAAAAAGGATTTAGGACAAGACCAAAATGTCATTATAATCAAAATTTGCCTTTTGATTAATCTCCTACAAAATTTTTAATTAAAACACAGGAATTTTTATTTAACTGAACAATTTTCTGATTTTACTAATGATAAATACTATGTGATCATATTTTTGCTACGTTCTGTATTGAGGGGTGAACAATTGTCAGTCACTACAGGGAATAACATAGTGGTCCCCAGTTCTTCAAAGTTAGTGTGGACATATTAAAAAGAAAAAAGTTGGGCTAAAAATATATAAATGTTGGCTGTTGGAAATTTGCTTTGAAAATTGACAGGTCCACAGTATCCCACATTTTGAAAAGGACTGTGGAAGAAATTAAGTTAGAGCCTGGATTAAAAGCACTGCTATCTGCATGAGAATATAAACCTTTTGGAAATACACTGGGAAGAATACAAGTGGGTGGTTTTCCATTGGAGCTTGCAAAGGGCCTGGCACCTCACCTGTGCAGTAGAAGTGGAAATGGAGGATTGAGGGTGAGCGGTGGATCATGTTGAGTCTGAAGCCAGTTTGAGTGAGGTGACTGCTGGCAAGGACATCACCTGCGTTGCCAATGCATTCTCCCCAGCAGCTCCCTGGCAGCACAGCCAGCCCTAGAAGGCTAGCCTGCCTGCAGTTGTTGACTTTGCCTTGGGTTAGTATTTCTCATAAACTTCATCTAAGATGTTGGAGAAAATCCGTTTAGGGACACAACAGAAGTGACTTAAGCTATACTTGACAAGAAACAAAGGTGCTGTCATTTCAGTTCCCAAGACAAGAAATTTGAAATAAATCCTGAGGCAGGAAGGCCTGAAGTAACATCTCCCGTTAAAATTCAAATAATCACACCATTTTCATTTCCCCATGTTAACGTATTTGAATATCCATGATTAGGCGATTATAAGCCTCTTCACTTGCTTCTTTCTTCCTAGGGAAATTGCTAGAAAGATGTCTAACTAGCCAGTAGCCCAAAGCCACATGGGGCCCTAAGTATGTATCCTGGTACATGACATAGTTTGCTTAATTCTAATGTGTATCACTCTCTGTGAGTACCATACAGAAGGATCCCCTTCATAGTTCTAGAATCAAATGACCACATTAATATGCTCTATTATTGAATCAAGTAGCATGCTCAGACTTTGGGGGTGTGTCTGTGTAAAGATGCTGGGGCACACTCCTGCAATCTCAGAATTCAGGAGGCTCAAGCAGGAGGATCACAAGTTCAAGGCCAGCCTGGGCAACAGAATGAGCCACAGGCCTAGAGTGACCCTGTCCCAAAATAAAGGGCTAAGCTTATGATTGAATAGTAGAGTGCATGAAAGGCCCTGTATTCAATCCCAAAAACCACCAAAAAAAAAAAAAATGGCAGGTTAAGATTTTGTGTATTTGTGGTATATTGAACATAGAAGACTGTTTTGGTCATAGTCCTAGAAAAATGTTGCTCAAATCAGTTACCTTTCAGCCCCACAGCCATTTATGGTCCATTGGTATGTCTAGCTCAGCAAATATTTATTTCCAGTATAAAAAAAGGAAATTTAAACCAGGCATGGTGGCACACACCTTTAATCCCAGCCCTCGGGAGGTAGAGACAGGCAGATCTCTGAGAGATCAAGGCCAGTCTGGACTTCATAGCAAGTTCCAAGCCTGCTGGGGCTACAGGGAGACCCTGTCAAAAAAAAAAGACAAAAAAAGTTGGAAATTTAAGACATTTTATTTAAATTCCCAATTTATAGATTCCAAAATTATCTTGAAAAAAAGCATGTTGGCCTCGTATCCCTGGACCTGCATTTTCACATAGGATCCACAAATTATTGGCTGAAGGAAAGCCTGCCCCACTGGAGGAGACAAGGGCTCCACAGTTTGGTTTAGGTCACCCCCCACCAAGTCCCTTCTTCTCTGATTCTGATTCTCAGAGGCTTTGAGGGTTTAGCATCACCACTAAGCAATCCTTGCATTTCTCTGTCAAGCTCCTTCCCACTATCGAGCATGTGTTCTTTTAGGGGTTCACCCGAACTTGCCAATAAAACTGATGATCAATTTAATTCGAGTGACCCTTAGAACTTTAAGCTAAGAGGAAGAAGAGGAAGGAGGATGGGGAATAAAGAAGTGTTTGCTTCACCCCTGCAGACTTTCAGTCATAAGCCAAAGCAGACCTCCTGCCTTGAACTCTGACTTTTCTAAACCCCAAATCAGCACATATGCAATTTGGCTCAGGGAAAAATTAGATACATAGAAACACATGAGAATGAATGTCTGCCAGAGGCTTTCGGCCTTTATAATCCAGGTTTCCCAAGGAGCAAGCTACTGCCCCTGTGTCTTCTGTCCCAGAAAACCCACAAGCACTGATGAGCAAGTTTTGTGGGAAGGAAGGAGGTGGGAAGCATGTTGGTAATTAAAACACTTACTTGATTAAAAATATAACATCTCTCTAAAAAGAGTTGGGTGTCTGTGCTTTAGAACTGTACTCTTAAAAATCAGCCAATTGCATTTGAATTTCCTGCTGAGGCAATAAATAGCAATCACGACTCAGATAATTTGGCTTTACCTCAAGACAATTTCTAGAGGAGGGTGGGTGATGTTCAAAAAGGAAGAGAAACCCACGTAGATCTGCAGATGGACCGAGGACAGGTCGTGTGTGTCTATCTGTGATACCAGTTCTGCCTTTTGCCTTAATTTTTTAAAAATAAAAAAGAGTAGCAAAAGCATTCCTTCACTTTTCCAGTTAGTATGACAAGAATCAAAAATGTAACAAAATCTGTTGATATTAACAGCTACTGTACTGGGATTAAGCAAATGAAACCTTGAAGTGGGTAAGAAAAGTCAAACAGAATATAGGACCACTCATATCACAGAATTACAGAAACTGGCAAATGGAGGGGAAGAATGCTGTCCACCCTCCCCTGAAGACATGTCTGCCATACAGTACAGAGACCTGGCTGGATATACTGCCATCTTGTATTTGATGTTGCTCATTCAATGGCCTCCAGGGAACCGGCAGATGCTGATTCATGTGTCTTGCTGCCAGCCCAGCATACCTAGTCCTTGTTCACGGTAAACCTACTTTGAAGGTCCTGACACAATTCGCTGGTTCTTCAGACACTTGCTGTGCACCAGATGCACGTGTTGTTTTATTGCGCTGTGTCGTATAGTCCTGTCAGAAGCAAGATTTCTTGCCCCCATTTTAAGTTTAGGACTAAGATTTTGTAGTGACAGTAATGGCTTCATCATTCAGTTTATATCCCAAATGGGATCCAGCTTTTTGGTCTTGACTCCTGGGATGCATCCCTCCACAGCACAGAGATAGTTTACGAAGGTGCTAAACCTTCAGCCTGCCTTTGTGCAACTCTTTCTACTACTGAAGTAATAAAGGGGTTTTTGTTTTGTTTTAATATTTTATTATTTTTACTTTATGTGTATGAATGTATTGTCTGCATGTATGCAAGTGCACCTGTGTCATGCAATGCTTGTGGAGATCAGAAGAGGGCATCAGATCCCCTGAAACTGGAGTTAAGGATGGTTGTTAGCCAACAGGTGGGTGCTGGGAATCAAACCTGGGTCCTCTGCAAGAGCAACCAGTGCTCTTAACTGCTGAGCCATCTCTCCAGTCCCATGAAGTAACAAAGTTGCATCAACAATTATTTTAGTAAGTAAGCTGCATAATTCTGTTTCATTCAGAGGGAGGGTTTTTCAGCCTTGATATTGCTAATGTTTTGGACCCGGTAGTTTCTTTATTGTGAGGGGTTGTCCTGGGCAGTATTTGCTGAGTATTGAACAGTGTCCCTACTCTACATATTAGATGTCAGTAGCTCCCCTCCTTCACTCATAATAACCAAAATAACAACAACAGCAAACTATCTCACTCCAGCCATGGGCAAGGCCATGCAAAATCAGCCCCAAATAAGAACCACCTTTCTATTGCTGTTGATCAAGTGCTTTTGAGAAGCTAGGGGCATACTTTGGGGGGATAATTGCTTGTTTGAGTTCTAACACTGCCGTTTACTAACTTGGTGAGTAAGTTGCGCTGCTCTGCCCCCACCTTAACTATAAAACGGAGGTAGACAGTCTCTGTCTCAGTGTTTCAGGTGAGAGTTAAACAAGTTGATTTCAGAACAACCTGATTATTAATGCATGCAATCTGCATGTCAGTCTCTGTATACAACATATGGACAGATGGTGGCTGTAATACACTACTTCTATGTTCTAAGCACTGTGAGAAGCATTTTGCCCAATTCAGTCTTCACAGATCCAGAAGAATTTGTGCTGTTCTGTTTGGCAGTTGAAGAAGCTGTCTTTATGGAACTCCTCAGGGATATGAAGGCAGCACTAGAAGCCACAGACCTCTAACTCCATAGTCTATGTTTCTAGAACATTCTCATTTCCCCAGAGGAAAACTAATGGGCAGAAAAGTAGATGAGAAACCTTCCATGCACTACTGGATGCCCTTGCCTTGCTGGTGAGATTGGTCTAGGGGACACGGGGAAAGTGCTTTATACCCTCTGTTTTTAGTACAGTGGAATCTTTGAGTTCTCCAGCATCACCTAGACTGTGAGTTATGGGAAAAAGTTGAAAGCCGTAGGAGAGATACCTATAGCTCCTTTATGTGCTTTTTCTACCTGAGTGATTTGTGTTTGAATTTTTTAAAGAAAATCAAATAACCAAATTTTTCTTACTGTATGCAGAGCAATACAAGTTCTAGATTTGGATTCCCTGGATTTGAGCCCTTACTGACCATATGATCTTGTCTTTGCCTCAATTTTCTCATCTGTAGAGTGCGTGAATACTTTGAGCTTGTGATGAGAATCAAGGAATATCAATAAACATCAAAGTGTTAGCAGAGAGCAAGCAGTGTTAACCCTTACTCTGGGT